TTGCAAATAACACCGCTTTTCTCCGGTCTACCTCCGAAAGCAGCACCTCCAATTCACATTCTGTTCAAAGTTTCTCTTTTTGTTTGATTTTGCCATTGCTTTTTCGTTGGGTTTTCCATTAGCATAGTCATTAGCATATTCATACGGGGGAGGAGGCAGGGAGGGGTTTTGCGCTCGTGCATGTTGCGCTCAGTTTCACGTTCATTCGGATGTACAAAAGAATATGCGTGAGATTCGGCGTACGCAGTGTTTCATACATCTGAATTTTTTTCTGCGTACGCACATTTACAGCTTTGTGCGTACGCAATGTTTTAGTAAGATTTCCACGCAAGTCTTCGTACATGAGACCCCAGGTGCACTCACTGCAGAGCCACATGGGCAGAGCTGAGCTCTAGCAAGGGGTAGCTTAAAGGATCACAAAACACCAAAACACATTTTTTTTTATATGTTGCTAGTCAAATATGTGCCTCATGCTGCTATAAAGACTATTTGGGCACATATCTTACACAAAAAAAGTGAAAATTGGTTGTTTTTGCGTTATTTTGAGCAAACTCATTCTTCTGGTTTGAAACTAATTTTTTAAGCTGGGTCACGGCGATTAGATACTTGTGTGTATTCCAGTGTGGAGACTGGATGTCTGTACCTGCGAGTGCATCGTGACGTTTCTGAGTGTGCAGCATTAATTCATGAGAAAGACTTGTTTCAAACCAATCAGCGTGCTCTATTGTGTATGCGGTGCAACTTCATTAATATGCATGGTAGCTTCAAAGATCTGTAAAAGTGTTCAGACGGCAGAGAGACGACACGTTGTGCTGCCAAAACGAATGGAAGAACAAGAATTTGGAGACACGGGTCGTCAGTGTTGCGTTTCTTAATGTGCTGCAATGAAGGTTTCATTTTCATTTTCCTGCTACATGAGCACAGCTGGACTCATGTGTGGACTACAGTGCACGTGACACGTGACAGAAATACGTTTGTATGGACCATCTTTACTTGAGAGCTTTTCGCATCTTGAAATAGGGAAATCCACATTTGCCGCTTGTCTCCTTTTAAAAAAGACACGGCTCCAGTTTGGGTTGATTGTCATGTCTCTAGATTTGCTAAGTGTATGTGATCAGTGCCTTTTTTTTGTTCATTTAGATGGCAAAGTTAGTTTAATTCATCAGCAGTACTCTTTCAGTTTTTAAAAACAGACCTTAGTCAAAATTATTTCGTTACTAAGTTTACAGTATGTTAATATAACTACAATATTATGTTACAATATTATAGACTGAAAGGTCGGCTGTAAATGCGGCTCTCCGAATGTAAACATGTAAACACCTTAAACTATTACGGTCGTGTAGGATTTGTAGGATAGGTTGGTTTATGGCCCTGTAAGCTCCAGCTCCTCCTTGCTGCACCTCTTTTATAAGTGATGACACTGTGGGTTGGGGTTAACGGCAGGGTAGGTGTTTGCATTAAAACAGCTTATCGAAATATGAGCTGGAGCTCAAGCTCTCCCTCATTTGAGGTAAGCTCCACCCAAGTGGCTCTGCAGCGAGCACACTCTCATAGAGATTGTAAACCTGATTTAAGTCCACAAACCGGGATTGAAGCGTCTTATTTTATAATTGTACTAATTGGGATTTTACTCTCTTTATTATAAACTCGCATAGTTATAAAAACATTTTAAACTTGTAAACTCATTCTTGAGGTGCTGAACAGATCATTTAATTCCAGTTGCTTTGCGCATATCCTGTCTTGTGGATTTGCTTATACAGTATGCGTAACTCTGGAGACATGTTAAAAGCAGCTATCAATCAATTTGGTGGGCAGGGAAACTGCACTCCTAGGTCATGTTGCGGTGGGCCCTAAAATGGGAGAGATTTCAATACTATTTTTAACATCTGAAAATGTTTAAAAACAAACTAATTGTGTTGTTTCAGCTAATCTTTTAAATAGGTAGTTTGAACAAACAGCAAGCTTCATTTTTTGAGTGTAGAACAACTTTATTATGAATGTTTTTTTCCACCCAAACTACAGTATATACCTCAAGACTTACCATGTTACTATGCCTTGTACATTTGCTTTTCACTACTTTTGTGGTCTAAAAAACTATATTGAATATTATTGGATTAACATCACAATGATTATATGGAGTACATTTTTATATGTGAGTGAAGTATCCTTTTAAAGTAGCTTAACCATAATATCTTGTTATTTTTTTGGAAACAATTAGAAATTGTTCAGTGTTTATGTGAAGGTTTTAGTGTAAAGAAAGATGAAAAGGGTGAAAGAATGCCACCAAACCAGGCTCGTTTGATATGTTCAGTCAATTATACAACTTGTACAACACTGAATGTGCAGTGATTTACAATATAAATATTATATTTAAAAAAGCAATTTAGTTTATTCTGATAAATATGAGTCAAGCAGTGTTTTATCTCATTGATTATTGCATGTATCCTGGCAGTTCGGAAATGAAATCTGGAGCGTGGCCCTGAATGCTCAATAAATAATGTGCCACTTTCTGATCTGAACCAATAGTGGTTCCAAAAGCAAATGCAAGATAAAAAAGTGTTTACAGAAGCAGGCATTACATTTTTTTATCGCAACATTCGTTACATAAGACTCATAATGGAAGTGAGCTGCATAACATATTGTGCAAAGAACTGCAAAAAAAAAAAAATGTGTTTAGCAAAGAAAAGTATGACCACTAGTTGATATTGTGTGAGTAGTAATGTTTTTAGTTCAGGTTTGTTATTGTTTTGTTTTAAAATTTTGTTTTAAAATAAAATAAAAAAATAAAAAAAATTGTTTAATCAGAGACCCAGAAATTATTTCAACCAAATGGTCAGAAAATGTTTGTCTGGCATGTTTTGATTGTGGAATATAAGGAAATAATACTAAAGGAACTATTCAATTCATAAACAATTCAAGACATATCCGTTTTTATTTTTATTTATTTTTATTTGTTTATTTAGGGATATGAGCAGGCAACACGGTGGCTCAGTGGTTAGCACTGTCACCTCACTGCAAGGTCACTGATTCGAGTCCCAGCTGGGTCAGTTGGCATTTATGTGGGAATGCTCCTGTTTCGCCCACAGTCCAAAGACATGTTGTATTAGTGTATTAAATAAAGTAAATTGGCCATAGTTTTCCCAGTGATGGATTGCAGCTGGAAGGGCATCCGCTGCATAAAACATGAGCTGGTTAAGTTGGCCGTTCATTCCGCTGTGGCGACCCCTGATTAATAAAGGGACTAATCTGAAAAGAAAATGAATGAATGAATGAGCTAAATTGGCCGTAATATATGTATGTGAAAAAGTGTGTATGGATGTTTCCCAGTACTGTAAGGTGTGTAAAACATATTTTGGATAAGTTGTCGGTTCATTCCGCTGTGACAACCCCTGATGAATAAAAGGTTTAAGCTGAAGAAAAATGAATGAATGAAAGTATATTAGCAAATGTTTTAACAATGTAATGCCACAAAACCCAATTACTTCTGCACTGGAGAAGGTAAACATTTGGTCATGAATGTTAATTAATATGAGAAATTCTTTTTATCAGCATATAGTGATGTCACAATGTGCATATATATTTGCCAAGTGTTTTAGATTGGCTCATTGGCATTTGTACAGGGACATTTGCTTCTTGCTTTGGTTCATTTTCTCATTGCAACATTTCAAAACACAGCAAAATGTGTTTATGCGAGTACATATGAGTAATATGCACATACATATGAGTAAACTGTCCTGTCATTGCTTCGAGTGAACCTGCATAATCCATCAAAATAGACTGACAAGCTTGCTCTGCAGGCTTATTGTGGCTTTATCTGGAGCTGTAATGACATGCGCATACTCTATAGCACAAACGCACACAAACACATATAAAAACAGCCATAGAAGAAAATAAGAGGCCACTTGAAAATTCTGTTTCTCAGGATTTCTTGGATTTATTAGGTATGGGATTCAGTTAAATAGTTATATTTGTTTTATTGTATAAAGAACTGGTAATATTTTTTCAGCATTTCAAATGAAAATAATATATTGTAGATTTAGTTTTCAGAAAATAGTCCAGATAACAGTTGTTTTGATTTGATGTGACAGAACATCAGGCTTATTCAGTCAAAATTGTTTTTTTTAACTCTTCTGAAGATAAAACATTTGTAATGTGTTGTTTTAAAATGTATTTAAACATGTCTGAAAGCAAATATTTGTTATTGTATGAAAAATAAATGCTATAAAATTAATTTTTAACATTAACTGTTGGAAGAAATATAAACAGTTGTGTAAAAAACTAAAACTAAAAATATATATAAATATGAATAATAATAATAATAAAAACGATTAATTCTAAAATCCAGAAAAAGGTGGTCTATTTTTTTTTCCACAGCTGTATCTGTGTATGTGTTAAAGTGGAAATCAAGGCTCCATTGGGACGGGATTCCTGCTATGCGCAGAGAAGACTCATTTCATACAGCTCGTTTCCCATTATGAATTGCTGTACCGCATGGTTCTTTATTTCATTGGGTTGGATTGCTTTTTTACTTTCAATCAGGCTAAGACCACCTATTTCAGGTGTCCTCAGATCCATTGTTTTGATGAAGATCTGAGCATGATTGGTGCGGTCACATGCTTATGATAGTAATGTAGTTTAATGAAAAACAAACTAATTAAAAACAAATACACCAAGTTCTACAACAATTGCATCAAATGAGCCAGACATGAAAACGTGATCTGGGTTCCCTGTACCACAAATATAACTAAAACCGAGAGTGTTAGATCCTAATCAATGATCAAATCCATTTATTGGTGCTGAGTGCCACTGTTGGATACATTATTGAAGTGCAGAATCCTATCATCATTGATCTTTGCACATTTATTCCTCCTATAATTTCTACTTGCAGTCACTGGTTTTGTCCTCAAAAACATTCTTAGATGACACAGCAAAGACATACAGTATCTTATTTTGAAACGATGCTTCTTGTGCAGTTTTGTTCCCTGAGGTTCTATTATTACCTGTTGAAGAAAAGCAACAAATTTGCACATGAAGTCCCCAAATATCCAGCCGGGCAGAGGGTAGAGGGTGGCGGTGAACGGCACACAGCACAGCAGAAAAATGATGTCGGTGGCAGCCAAGTTAGCTGAGGAATTAAATATACATGTGAAAAACAATCCATTTCTTTTGAATGTGTGATGTGAGGTGTGCATATCACTGTTATCTTATGGGGGTGTGAGATAAAATGCAGGCAGATATGCAGTGTATAAAATAAAGGGAATAAAATAGAAGCAGAAACCTGGAAAATCAGACTGAGCCACAGAATGTTAAAGGGATAGTTCACCCAAAAATAGCAGTTCTCCTATCATTTACTCACTAATCAGTTTTTATGTTCTGTTGAACACAAAAGAAGATATTTTGAAGCATGTTGAAGCATGTAACCATTGAGACTTAACATTTTTGTTAGGTTAATGATATCATTTTGCAGGTTAATGATACATGTTTTCATTCATTCATTTTTCTTCAGCTTAGTCCCTTTATTCATCAGGGGTCACGACAGAGGAATGAACCACCAACATATGTTTTATACAGCGGATGCCCTTCCAGCTGCAACCCAGTACTAGGAAACATCCATACACACTCCTTCACACACATACATTACGGCCAATTTAGTTTATTCAATTCACCGACATGTCTTTGGACTTGTGGGGGAAACCGGAGCACCCAGAAGAAACCCACACCAACATGGGGAGAACATGCAAACTCCACACAGAAATGACAACTGACCCATCCAGGACTTGAACCAGTGACATTCTTTCTGTGAGGCGACAGTGCTAACCACCACAAAATATCTATTTTTTGGGTTCAACAAAACTAAAAGAAATGCTAGTTTTGCCGAATTTTCATTTTAGGTGAACTATCCCTTCAATTTGACTTCATTTTCTGTCATGCTCATCAAAAAAAATCACTGTATGCAAAAAAACCCAACTAAAAGTACAAATACAATCAAATGTAATACAACTTAAATGCAAAAAAAATATTTCAGAGATTTTTTTTTCTAGTAGTAAGTCATTTAAGTTCCAATTTTATGGCATTTCCTAACCGTGCAATCTGTCTTAAGAGGTCCTTGTGCAGTGTTCCTTAAGGGAATGCAATAATTCATACAATTACATGTCAGCACAACATCCTGTGGCTAATCCATCATATTTAGTCATTAAGAGGTTGAAGCACAATTTATTTCTGTCACTGCAGTACTTTAGACTGAACTCAGTGTACTGTCTGAATATAAACTCACTAAAAGGAAAGATAAAGTGCTAATAATTAGTTTAATAGTACTAATAGTTTATTAATATTATCACTGATAATATGGTAACACTTTACAATGAGGTCAAATATTTTAATGTTAGCTGATGTTTTTACTAACATCACTAAAAAAATCTGTAAAGATTTGTTTAAGTTAAGTGGTTGTAAACAATTTTTTGAGCTGAATTTAAACAAACAAATCAAGTTGAACATTACTACATTTGATTTGTTCAAATTCAACCCAGACAGATTGTTTTTGCAGACATAATTTTTACAGTGATGAACAAACACTGAACAATACATTCATTACTGTATTTGTTCATGATTATTAATGTTAGTTAATTAAAATACAGTTATGTTGAATTACAGTGCATTAACTAATGTTAACAAGCATGGCTTTGGCTTTTAATAAGGCATTAGTAAATGTTGAACTATGATAAATAAATGCTCTACAGTAGTGTTCATACTTAGTTCACGTTAGTTAGTGAAAACATTATTGTAAAGTGTGAGCATTAATATTAATGAAAGCATAGCACTTTTTAGACATAAAAAGAACCTCAAAGTGCTTCATAGAGCAGTTAGAATACTAATTAAACTGTTCATCTATAGTTAATATGATTAAAACTGATTGATAATATGATTAAAAACAATATGCACAAAAATAAAAACATACAAAAGAAACTAAATTAAAATTCAAATGTTTCTTTTTATTAAATATTATTATTATTATTTCTTCTTTTTTCCACTATTTTAAAAATGTTCTTAATGTAATTTTCAGAAATAAACATTGTGATTTAGTAAAAGGTTTGGCTCAGACTCACCTATGTAAAAGTTAGTAGCCGTCCTCATCTGTCTGTGTTTGGAGATGACATAAATCACCAGTGAGTTTCCGATCAGCCCCACTAGCATGATGAGAGAGAAAAAGAGCGGCACAAGCCATGCATCTGTCAGGAACGGGTGCTCCCCGTCCTCCGAATCCTCCATAGAAGAGTTTCTGAAAGAGCCATTCAGAAGCTCACTAGAATTCCAGTCTTCACCAGAAAACATGATTTCAGATAGCAAAAAAAGCTTACAAACAACACAAAAAAAGTGTCTTTTTTATTCCTGCGGTGTCAAAATCCTCATGCCCACTAATCCACAAAACTTGATCTTCATCTGAATCTAATGTGTTGTGTGTTCTTAAGTCTCACACTGAAAAAATTGCACAGGTTGATGCGTCTTTCGAGAGAGACGATCGCCGTAATTTGACTTCTCTTCAGCTCTTTAAAAAAGGAGCCCTGCGAACAGCATCCACTCAAAGGCAGAGTGGATTGGCTCCCATTGGCTTTATACAGAGTCTCGACACACGTGGGCTACGCAATGATTGTAGAATGAAGAACTGATGTCAGGTCGCCTAGCAACAATTTTAGGTCTCTCTCTCCCTCTCTCTTTCTCATTCCACTGCTCCGTGCGCAGAGAGAGTAAAATATAAATGTGTTATTTACCCTGCAATATACACATAGCCTAAAGATACAAAAACCTGTGCAATCAGAGTGATCAATTTGGTCTACTACAACACATAATTCTAACCTACAAGTTATTGGCCACAGCATGGACATATGCAATTACTGCTTCTTGGGACTGTTCACTATACACATCAAGGCAAATTGCTATATAGGGTCCTTTTGTTGGGCTCCTGTTACTTTATTCCTTTGAAAATGGTTTATATGTGTGCTCTTTGCTGCAAATCGAAGCATATTGAAACTATGAATGTGCAATTCAATCAGACCAACCTAAGGTGTTGAGAATAAGCCCACCAATCATGGTTGAATCACACAGTTACTGCTCAGATAAGAGCACAGGGGTCCGTCTGAGCACTGAACTGACTTAGAGATTAAAAGCTCCCTCTATTAAAAAAAATATATATATTAATAAATGAATCATCTCTACCGTTTAATGCATGGCTGACATTGGTTAATAATAATCAAACTTAATAATATAATATTAATATAATATAATATTAATATTATAATATATTATATAATATAATATATATAATAACATTGGTTAATAATAATCAAACAAAAATGCAGTGTATATATTTGAAATATGAAAAAAATAAATGCTGTTGCACTGAATAGATTAGGAGTAAAGTGTAAAATTTTACTTCAAAGCTATATATAGAGCAGGGGTGCCCAAACTTTTTAGTATGAAGGGCCAAACACCAAACATTGTTGAGAGCTGTGGGCCGAAAGTAAATTTACCATGGGTTAACATGGGTAATATCCCATTTTTTTTCTAATATTTCAAATTAAACAGAAAACATTACTTTAAACTGTAATGTATGTAAACTTTATTTTTTTTAATGATAACTTTTTCCAATAAAACCATAAATAATCCCAAAGAATTAATTTGCTCACTGAAGTCTCTGCATTGTCGGGTGAAAGTATGTACATTTAAACAAAATCTGATGAATTTACACCATTTAATTGTAACATTTATTTTACTTAGCTTTTAACAATATAACAAACAAAAGGTTGCATTAAATGGTTGCATTAAATTTGAATTGACAATCTCAAAACCATCCCCATCATTCTCCCTCTCTTCTCAAATGGGATAGCAGGCAGAATCTAAGGTTGGGCCCAACTTGGGCCTGCTAGCTCTAGTTTGGGCATCTCTGATTTAGAGTAAAATGTCAGTTAACATGAACTAAAAATGTAAAATACCTCTACAACAATTACTCATTGTTTTTGATCGGATAAAGGGATGTTTATGCAAATCTAAATATTCTGTCATAATTTATACACCAATGACTTGTTCCAAACCTGTTGAACTTTCTTTGTTTTGTTGAACAGAAAATAAAAAAAAGCTTAAATCCTCCCAGCAAACAATTTTGTTTAATAGACATCTGAACATACACAGCTTGGCTAAAACAAAGCTAAATTTGCACTGTAAGTGAAAATCTAATAGATGAGAATAGCCCAAAACTACAATATTCGTCAAATAGACAGATTAAACAGACTTTATACAGTATGTCTAGTCCTTCATTTCTGTTTATTTAATTTTGGCCTATTCTTAGACGTCTATTAGATTTTCACTGACATCCCAAATTTAGCCTTGTTTTAGCCATGACGACTATGTTTAGACATCTATTAGACATCTATTGGACATTATTAGCATAACAAAAATGCATACTGGGCTGTAACCATTGACTTTAACAGTATTTGTTTTTTTTAACTATGAAAGTCAATGGTTTTCAGCTTTCTTCAAAATGTCTTCTTTTTGTGTTCAGTAGAGTATAAACTCCTAAAGGTTTGAAACCACTTGAGTTTGAGTAAAGAGTGAGCACATTTTCATTTGTGGTTGAACTATATCTTTAATATTAGTTAATGTGGTGATGGTGAATGCTTAATCCTAATTGGTTGGGGTGAAAAGGTGTGCAGTTATCAGAGAAGGTGAAAGAAAGAAAGAAAGAAAGAAAGAAAGAAAGAAAGAAAGAAAGAAAGAAAGAAAGAAAGAAAGAAAGAAAGAAAGAAAGAATGAAAAACTATTTTCACAATTATGAAATAAGTGAGAAGTTTATATATTATGTATGTGTAGAACAATTTCATAATCTAAAGAACTTTTCCAAGTTAAAGAACCTTTTGTGAAACTAAAAGGTTCCCCTGGATGTTAAAAGCTCTCCACAGAACCACTTATGCGAGTAAAAAAAATTGTAAGAGTACATAAGAAGTACCAGGCAGGCCTATTTACCTCTGTATCACTCAGTAAATGGTAATCACAAAACCAGCTCAGGCATTTTCAGTGAACTGTGAGAGGTCAAGATGTCATTCTATACTCACTGCCTTCAAGATGTGCCACAGGTCAACATCAGTGGTCAACACAGTCTGACCAAGGCAAACTCTAAAGGAGGGCAAAGTCAGGATGAGAAGCCCTGTGTCATATCTTTAACATTTGAACACGCCAGGATTCTATCCTAAAATGAAACATGTCTTTTTATTTTTTATTTAAAAATAATAATCACTTTAAATTTGATGAATTTTCATCAAGTTGTTTAAAGGGTTTATTGATAAATAATGGCTTTAATTTTAATATTGGTGTCCAAGTAAATAAGAGACAGCAGATTATAGATAGATTATCTATTAACTAACCATAATAGAGACAGCAGATTAGTCAAATACTGTAAGTTCACTACATTAAAAAAGCTAACACAAAGAACATGAAAACTCAAATTTTTCCAGTTTATTTTCAGTTAATTCTTTAACTGTAAACTGGTCTGAACTTGAGCATTAGTTCATGTATTAAATCATGAAAAAAAATAATAGTAAATAAATGATATATATTTATATATATCATTGATATATATATTTATAAGGCCCTTCGGAATTCGTGAATGTGAATCTAATCTAGTATGTGCCTGGGAGGATAACAGCTGTGGAAATCCAGCAACACTGTTTAGTGGTATTGTATAAACACTATGTTTCATTTCTCCATCTAGCAGTTCAACTGGCACAGATGGTAGAAGGTAGTCACTTAGCTTAGACTTCAGATTAGATTGGTTTGCTTTCGGAATTGTCATTTCCTGATGCATGTGGCCACGGTTGATATGGCCAGATGATTGCAATATCTCTTACATGCAGCAGTTCAGTAGGCAGGAATGTATGCTGCCTGCAGGTGAACCTCAGAGTTGAGCATTTGATATTTTATCAATTTGTATTTTTTTTTTAAATAAAAATATTCATCGTAAAATTAAATTTTTTAGACCATTTTTAACAAAAACAGTAGCACACACATTTGTTTCAAGAGTTCACACTTAGCTGATAAGTGATTATAAAGCTTATTTGGCATGCTGTCCTGGGAAAGAGCCCTGAGCTCATAAGACCCTCGAGCCCCGGAATCCCTCCCGTTTGCAAGACTAAAGGAGAGTTTGAGCTCAGGTAGATCTTAAGAACTCCCCTGCTGTAGTAGCTAATGAACAGAGAGTGATTGTTCTTAAGAGACAACTAGTTACTAGGAGCACGTCTATGGTGCCGATTTGGATCAATTCAATTATCAAGTCAATTAGCTAAGTTGCATGTTTTTGGATGGTGGGAAGAAACTGGAAAGAAACCGGGGAACCTGGGGGAAACCCACGTGAGCACAGTGAGACCATGTAAACTCCGTACAGAAACGTTGGCTGGCTTGGTAAGTTCTAGAACCAGTGACGTTCTTGCTGTGAGGCAACAGTGCTAACCACTGGGCCACCGTGCCACCTAGGAAAGAAGGAGGAGTAGGGGTGGAAGGGGGGATTCTTCACAAGTGAAGATGGCTGTTATATGAAACTTAGGGTATTAATTGTGGCTTAGGAATCGTCTGATTGGTGAATCATGAGTTGGATAATGCAGTACCAGCCGTGATCAATCATTAGCATGTCATCCTCTCAAAATTAGTTTATAAATAAACCATACTTAGTAACTAACAAGCAATGGTAAAATTTACAAAAAATAAAAAGACTTTTTATTTTAAAAAGTGAGTAATCCTACTACTTTTAAAGCAATAAATTAACATCATTTAAAAAAAAAGAGCTAATTTGTTGTCTTAAAATGATTAAGTAAATGTGCAAGTAAACTACAGTATGTGCATAACTATAAAAAATTGTTTAAGACAACTTAAATGTTCAAAGCTACAATCAATAGAAACTTTAATTAAAATCAACTTTTCTTTTTAAAGGCAACAGGATTACTCACTTTTTAAAGTTATTGGTTCAGCTGATCACTTATAGTGGAAAACAACATGGAAAAACTTTGTAAAAACATTGTTCACCAGCATCGAGGAGGAGAGAAGTTAATGGGATCAACGATTTGTTTAAGGTGTTTACCATTTAGTTGAACCAGATGACTCAACAACGTAAAAAAATAACAATAATCTCTTACAAAAGTCATTAATCATCTTTAAATGCCACTTCCACTCCTAAAATAAAATTATGCAATTGTGTCTGTAAAAGTAAAGAAATAAGGTTAAACAGGCATAGAGATGACTTTGTAGAATCATCATAAGATAGCACTCATCTCTCATTTTGGTTTGATTTA